CTATGGTTAATAAATCATAATTAAGCAAGAGAGGCACCAAAGGGTCTCCAGACATTAAAGCAGAAGTCTTCAGAACAAAACATATGAGGAAAAGAGCCTTAGAGAAAACACAGACTTTACATGGAGAACACTTCAAAATACTACCATTTAGCTTGGGGTGGGGTGGGGGACAACACAACATCCATGGGACAGAAACATTCTGTTACTAAAAAGAAACAGGAGAATAAAAAGTTCTTAGAAATTAAGAACATGACACAAAAATTGGAAGATGAAACGAAGGAAATTTCCCAAGAACTAGAGCAAAAATATCAAAGGAATGAAACCTAAGAAGAAAGCATGAGACTGTTAGAGGAACGTCCAGGTACCTAATCATTCCACCCAGAACAGGAGTGGTAAGCATCAGAGATACAAATCCAGAAACTTCTCCAGAACTGGAGGATGGGTTTCCAGATAAAAGCAGCCCTTTGAAGATTGACCTAGTCCCACATATAATAAATACATTATGAAATTTTAGTACACTAGAAGTAAAAGAGAGAAATCCTGAAAATTTTCAAAGGGGAATAAAAACAAATTCATTTGACATAGAAAGATGAGGATTTAGCTGTAGTACGACTGAAGGCTAGGAGACAAGAGAGCAATGCCTTCAAACAATGATGTCAAGTTGTCCAACCTAGTTACATGTTTCCACCATCAGCACCCCTATGTGTTGACAGTAATTTTTACATGTGTGTGAGCTCAACTCAACTTCTTTTGTGGCCTCTTTTGGGAATACACTGGACAGAAGGCTCTACCGAACTGAGAGAGAAAACCAGAAAAGATAAAGTGAATGGCAGAAGGCAGAGGTACCCCTCAAGAGATAATCACATAAATTGTTTTTATTAATATTTTTATTTATTTTACATACTAACCACGGTTTCCCCTCTCTCCTCATCTCCTGTTCCCTCCCCCATCTCCTTTCTACACCCCCACAATCCACTCCTCAGAAAGGGGCAGGCCTCCCATGGGAGTCAACAAAGCCTGGCATATCAAGTTGAGGCAGGACCAAGCTCCTCCCACCTGCATCTGAGAGAGGCATCCCACCATAGGGAGCAGGTTCCAAAAAGCCAGCTCATGAACCAGGGACAGATCCTGATCCCACTGATGGGGCCCCCACAAATAGACCAAGCTACACAACTGTCACCCACATGCAGAGGGCCTAGGTCAGTCCCATGCAGGCTCCCTAGCTGTTGGTCTAGAGTCTGTGAGCTCCCACTAGCTCAGGTCAGCTGTCTCTGTGGGTTTCCCTGTCATGATCTTGACCCCTCCCCCCTTGCTTTTTAATCCCTCCTCCCTTTCTTCAACTGGACTCCCAGAACTCAGGCCAGTGCTTGGCTGTGGATCTCTGCATCTGCTTCCATCAGTTACTGGATGAAAGTTCTCTGATGGCAATTAGAGTAATCACCAGTCTGATTACAGGAGAAGGCCAGTTCAGGCACCGTCTCCATTATTGCTAGTAGTCTTAGCTGGGATCATCCTTGTGGATTCCTGGGAGTTTCCCTGGGATCAGGTTTCTCCCTAACCCCTAAATGGCCCCTTCTATCAAGATATCTCTTTCGCTGCTCTCCTCTGTCCCTCCCCCAACTCGACCCCAGTTTACCCCCTCTATGCCCTGTCCCCGTGGCCTGCCTCAAGTTTATCCAGGAGATCTCATCTATTTCCCCTTCCCTGCTCCCATGTGTCCTCTTAGAGTCCTCCTTGTTACCTAGTTTCTCTAGGACTGTGGATTGTAGCCTAGTTATCATTTGCTTTACATCTACTATCCACTTATGAGTGAGTACATACCGTGTCTTAATGGGAAGAAATCAGAATGTTCCATCACGGGTGTCCACCCTTTTGACAGTGTAACATGATGTCATTTACAAATGTATTAGGTTATATTCATAATTATCCAGGGACACATGTGGCCTATGTGGGGACTGAAGGTTGGACATACCTGTTTGGGGGAACCTCCCCAAGATTAATTCACTAATATATCCAAACACCTCAGACATTTTAAGAGATTTCCAAAATTATCTCTGGGGATAAATTAGTTACAGCATTGAGGAACCTGAGTTGTGTGGATCAAAAGTTAAGTCTCGAAGGATGACAATAACTGATTAACAGAGAAGATTTGATAGGAAGAATTTCTGGGGGGACATTGAGTTTAAAAAGCCAAAGGAAAACAGTAAGTACCACAGAGATAAAAAGTGTAGGCAGTGGCTACCAGCTCTGCCCAGGGGAGCAAAGACCAGTTCAGACTTGCAAGCTCAGAGGGAGAGTATCTATCTGTGCTGCCTAGATTTATGTTAACTTGACACAAGCTAGAGTCATCAGAGAGGAGGGAGCCTCAGATGGGAAAATGCCTCCATAAGACTGGGCTGTAAGCAAGCCTGGAGGACATTTTCTTAATTAGTGATTGATGTGGGAGGGTCCAGTCTATCATGGGTGCTTACCACCCTGGGCTGGTGGTCCTGGTTTCTATAAAAAAGCAGGCTGAGCAAGCGATAAGAAACAAGCCAATAAGCAGCACTCCTTCACGGCTTCTGCATCAGTTCCTGCCTTCAGATTCCTGCCCTATTTGAGTTCTGGTCCTGACTTCCTTTGATGATGAACTGTGATGTGGAAGTGTAAGCCAAATAAACCCTTTGCTCCCCAAGTTGCTTTGTGGTTTCTTGACAGCTATAATAGTAACTCTGACTACAACCATATCTCTGGATGCAGCCTAGACATCTGAGGCACTAGACAGTCAGGATTGTTGCTCTGAACTCCAAGAACATGACCCATGGATCTGGAACCCATGAAATGGGATATAACGCAGCCGATTCTGCAGCTGGCAGGAACACTACTCACTGGCACTTCCTACCACTCTTGAGACACTCTGCTAGTGTGAGGAAGGAGGAGGGAGACAGAGATGAGACTCCCATGAAAAGGAAGTCCAGGCAGCAAGCAGACTCGCCCAGCCCCCCTTCCTCCTTCAAGCTCCCTGTCTTGGTGTTTCTATGTGCGCATCTTGACTGTGCTCCTCCCCTTCCCCAGAGTCCCTTAACCACAGTGCCTAATGGGCCAGTGGCTACCAAAATAAAACCGTCCAAAGACCCAAGTCAAAAAGTAGCACATGGAATAGGAGGTAGGGCAGGTTTGGAATCATTAGCAACCCCCAAACATACACCAGGGTCACCGGGGTTATCTTAATTCTGGGGAAGCAAAAAAAAGGGGGGGGTCTCCCAAAAGATAAATGGTCAGAGTCCATGTCTAAACTCAGCAGATAACAGCTTTCGTAATGTCACTGTTTTGCAAACACTGAAATCTTATTCAACTAAAATTCCAAAGAATTGCTGACTAAATGGGGAAAGAAGTGTGTCCTTCAAGGGGTGCGGGGAGGTGATGAAGACGCTGAACACATCTCTTGCACAACCGGAAGTCAACAGGGAGTGCTTGAAAGAGAGACGTGAGGTGAGCTGGCCATTGTGAGATGCAGAGGTGAATATGAGAAACACACCTCACCGGAAGGGGTGGAAGTGACGCCCCAGGGAAGCAGGGGTAGAAGGGGGCACTGGGACGGTGGCTTCTCAAAGCAAGCCTTGCTGGGTGCCACAGTTGGCATTAAGTCCTTTAGGCCAGCACTCTGCCTTTCCTCCTCTCTCTGGTTGCTGCCCAGTGATGGTAAGCACTGGTAGGAAAGGGTCACTCACCACCCATGCCGAGACCTGGCTCTCAAGCCAAAGGAACCTAGAGTTTCATTGAGAAAATCCTATCTAGCCAAAAACAGTTTCCAAGGCTGGTCAGAAGCCATGCAGGCAGAGCAGACCTGGACTCATCCTTGTAGGGAGGAGTGCTTCATAAGGGCAGTTTTAGCTCATCATGAGACAGACACGGCCCTTGTCACGCTAACCCAGCTTGCATCAGGAGCTGACAGCCCACCTGTCTGGCCTCATATATACCAGAGCAGAGCAGAGCCAGGCTCGCTCTCTGTCCAAGGAGACTGCATCTGTCAGCACCTGAGGAGAGCAGCAGTGATAAATGAGATGTTGAGTCTGGGTTGGGAGCAACTGCTGAGCCGGAGCTACTGACTCAGAGCCAAAGGCCCTTCAAGAGGTGCATTAAACACCAGTTCGTTAAAACCCCGGGGGAGCACATGCCCTAATTCTTTGGGTAATAGCAAACTTACTCCAGGTTGCGTGGGATTCAGGCTGATAAGACATTTGTAGCTATTCAAATGTGTACAAGTCGTCTTCTCCGAATGCAGGATCAGTCCTCCCGTGAGCTCACCTTTTACACTTGCTCCTGCCAGCACTGGCTCTGAAAAATCCTCACAACTCCAAAGTATCTCTGCTACTTCTCAGAGCCTGCCTAACCCCAAGGTCTTCCTCTCATAGTATAACACTCGACTCTCACCAGCTCTGGACTGTCTTGACAAACTGCTGGAAGGAATACACTCTCTGTGTCATTAGGAGGAAAGGGTAAAACAGATCCCAGTGATGCTGCAGAGCCTGGCTGCCTAAACATCTTGGTGCTCTGGATAGTGGACGAAAATGGAAGGCTGATATGGTGACCTAAGGAAGAAAATCCAAGTGACATTTGCTTTTGGTCACATAAATACCCTGCATTTAGCTAGGCGGCGGTTGCACACACCTTTAATCCCAGCACTCAGAGGCAGAGTCAGGCGGATCTCTGTGAGTTTGAGGCCAGCCTGGGCTACCAAGTGAGTTCCAGGAAAGGCGCAAAGCTACACAGAGAAACCCTGTCTTGAAAAACTAAAAAAAAAAACAACAAAAAACAAAAAACAAAAAAACAAAAACTGCATTAAACTGTCCATTGTGGCACTCTCAGAAACTTGGAAAGAGTTAATAGCTCTACGAAGGGAGCCAATCACACTTCACATTTAACCCTTAGCACAGAGCAGCCCCCGACGTCTGTTCCAGGCTAGGGCTGGGTCACCCAGTGCATGCTGAGGCTGATGTGAGTGCTCTCTTCTCTTTCAGATTATGACATCTGTGCCCAAGCTCCCTGTGAACAGCAATGCACGGATAACTTCGGCCGGGTGCTGTGCACTTGTTACCCAGGATACCGATATGACCGAGAGAGACACCAAAAGCGGGAGAAGCCATACTGCCTGGGTGCGTAGGAAATGCATTTCCAGCTCCTGGGGACATGCTGTGTTCAGATACCCCTGCCCTTTGCTGCATTTGCTGCTGCTGCAGCAGGACCAGGTCAGAGGAGCTGCTGTAAGCTCTGACTCCTCCCCTGAAGTCTTTGTACTTGTGGGATGGAGTGGTGTTTGGTTTTAGCCTGCGGAGCAATAGCTTTCATCATGTTTATCAAAACAAATAATGTACAAAGATGTCTTCAGGAGGTGGAATTAGTCAGAGCCTAACGGAGAGGAGAGGTAAGAGCTAGAAAAAAAAAAGGAAGAGTGTCCCACGTAAACAAGAATGGTGTAAGGCAGGTCAGAAGCCAGATGTGGCGGCATACACCTTTAACTCTAACACTTAAAGGGAGGCAGAGGCAGGAAGATCTCACTGAGTTCGAGGCCAGCCTAGTCTACATATTGAGTTCCAGGACAGCCAGGTTTACAGAGAGAGACCCTATCTCAAGAAAAGAAAAAAATCAGAAATGTAAAAACACAGAACAAAATGAGGATTGGCAGCCCTGGAGTTCAAGCAGGACAACAGAAGTACTGGTATGTCGAGCAGGTGGGAAGCAGTTTGAAGAAAGCGGAGGCCAACTGCCTGGACTACAGCTGAGCAAACAGTCCAGCCACCCTCAGTGGGTACCAGCCTGTTTCTTGTGTCCCCATTGACTGGGGTTTTCTACCATTCCCTTCTAAGAAGGCTTCAGACTTATCTCAGGAGATTGTCTATTTCCAAGTGTGATCATTCTGTGGCTAACCTGGGTCTTGGCCTCCTTTCCAGTGAGACAAACCAAGCAGTAGACCCAGGAATGTGCCTTTTCACAAATGACACTAAGTGACTGACAGGTTTAGTGAGGTTCAAGAATCAGAAGATGGACTGAGATGGTCAATAGACTCAAGTGGGAATTAGCAAAGAGCCTTTGATAAACAGCTCTTCCCCTCTGTCCGCTAGGGCTCTGCGGAGAAGCTTTTGGGAAAGGGTCTATCCATGGGCCTTCTGCAGCCTCCCAACAGAATCTGGAAATAGTATCGCACACTAACAAAGGATGCGGCCAACACAATTAAATAAATAGAGCAGGAGCCCACGACACCACCTACATAGAGCAGGGGATGTCCCCAGTGGCTCAGTGCCACGCAAGGAGGCTAATATTTCAGTGTCCAATAGCTACTTCAACCTCCTGTTTTCTTTTGTTGACCACTGGAGCTTGGGTTCAACAAAGAGTACCCCCAAAGCACAATAGCTCCATACTTAACATTATGACAGGGTCCCCTGTAAGCAGGCTTCAGTTGGGACCCCCAGCCTCTAGATGACCGTGTGTAGTGCCAGGGGAACACCCACATTGCCATGCTCTCCCTGGCACCCTCAGCTCCTGTCAGAGCGAGGGCTTTGGCAGCTTGCCCAGGGAGCATTGGGAAGCTGTCAGTCTCCTGAATTTCGGGACTGGGCTCTGCCTGCCACATGTGTAGAGTCTGAGGTGGTGTCTTCATGCAGTGAACAGGAAATGGAATACAGCCTTCTCCCTTTTCCTGTGGCAAGAAACATTTTGTTTCCACCCCATGCCACGGGGAACTGAGTCAGTGATGTACACAGTCCATGCGGACTCTCTTGGGGTCCCTTCTTTGATGATCTCATGGCTCATTTCCAGGGCTCACCAGGGGGCAGCTTGGGTCAGTGCGGAGCAGGGGCTGTCTGGGGAAACCTCTCTCCAGGAGGCCCATCCTACTATTTACTTTTGTTAGAAGTAGCTTTTTCCAGTTGCTGCCATGTCTCTTAACTGGGAAGAGACCATTCCTAAGTGACCCTCGGGTCACCAGCGTGCTGTTTGGAACCTCCCATTATAAAGGGGGATTAAGCCTCAGCACACCAAGCTACCCACAGAAGTCAGCTGTGTTGCTGGCATTTTGTTTTCTCTTCCATGGAGCCCTAGGGAATGCTTAGGGCTGGCCTCATTGTCATGCTCTATGGGTGAGTGAGCCTCTGAGGCACCAAGCCACAGGACAGACACCCCCACTCTAGGTCTCTGATGACAGGCACATGGCCCAAAGTTAAGGCTTCCTGTATGGCCCCACGTTCCTGGAACTTCACTTTATTCCACATTTCTCTGGTTCCGGTCTAGAAGTTTCGCTTGCTCATGTCAACAGAGGGGTCAGGTGTGTGGCTGTGTTGAAATTGTTCTATTGCATTTGATCCAAACCAGATATTGACGAATGTGCCAGCAGCAACACCACTCTGTGTGCACACATCTGTATCAACACCGTGGGCAGCTACCACTGTGGGTGCCGCGAAGGCTACGTCCTTGAGGACGATGGGAAGACCTGCACCAGGGGAGACAAGTACCCCAACGACACTGGTAAGCAGGACAAGCATGGCAGCCCTAACTGTGTGCACGTTTCTATTTGATGTTATATAGAGCGTCGGTTTGACAATTACATATACATAGCAATGAAACTATGTCTTACATGTTTATAGGATTTTATATTCTGTAACTGTAGCTTATATCTATAATGCATATTGCACATTTATATGTAAAATGACATTCCATGTAATATCTTATGGTATGTACACATGATATATAATAATACATATTATAATATGTAAAATGCAATTAGGTATAATCTACAGTCCACATTGTGTAATTATATATAGTACACATTATTTTTATATCATATATGCATTATTTATCCCATGTTCTATATTTATGTGTAGTACATATTATACATAACGTGTAAATTATAGGTACTTGGAAGCCCAGCCACTTCTCTGGTGACCCTGTGCAGGATGGGACACTTACAAGTGGGACCTAGGTGACAACCCAAGATCAAACTGATTCTGAGGAGAGCTGTCGGGAGCAGTGTCTGTGGCAAGTGTTGCAGGCTGGCATGCGCTGGAGAGAGGTGGTATGCCTGTGGAGAAGCAGTAGCGCTTGGCTGTGTGTTTCCAGGCATCTAGAGTGAACAGGAAAGAGGCCAGATGGACTATGTTCTCTCAAAGAAAATATGCCGAAATGTGTATTTGAATAATTTCCACATATGGCCCCAGTCTATTTCAACACAGCCCAAAATGCAGTCCATATCGTGTGCCCATCTGTGAACTAGCTGGTTGGTTTATGATCAGATAAAAACAGAAAATGAGAGTGTGAACGAATTTTTTTACACCAATTTGACAGAGGACATTTATTTAAATTCCAAATGGTATGCTTGTGTCTCGTGTATAATCTTTTGAGCAACTCACTTTGTATCAGTCCACGGTCAGTTACAAAATTTCTCCCATCTGGAGCTTCAGCATGGAGCTGGGAGGCTGCTGGACATGAACATGGCAGCCTGATTCAGCCAAGATGGCTGGCCCCTGGAGCATGGGATCAGCCTGCCTGCTGGGTTACTTCTTTGAGTTTGAAGGAAAAGAAAAAGAAGGGAGTAAAAGAGAAAGAAAAGAACTCCCAGATTGGTGGGCAAATGCTTATAACATTCACTTGCAAAGTAACTCTGATATCTCTGCCAAATGCCAAGCTAGTCATTAAAATTTGGAATTTTAGCCTGTGGGGACCATGTCAGTCACCTGCCAGCTGGAATGAACTTGGTGGTGAAATAGTTTTCACTATCAGTGTTGGCCCAACACATTCCCTGGAGAGAAAGTCCTTAGCCAGTTAGCGAGCCAGAAGTTGAGTTTTGTACCATCATGAACATGCACGCTGCACGTGCTGGAGCACTCACATGAACTCACAGTCAAGAGAGGTTAAAGGGCCTGAGCCATCCCTGGGAAGGGAGGAGGCTCCTAGGGCAAATCACATGTACCAAGATGTGCAGGGAGTTGAGAAAACCAGAAACATCTGGGCACGCACGAGATGGGGCCCTGAGCTTCAAAAAGGGCTGGGAGGCAGCAGACAGCTGGAGACCAGCTGCCTCACAAGGAACGACTACAAAGGCAGATTCTGAAGGGCAGCGAGGTTGAGTCACGGAGAAGCCACTGTGTGCAAAAAGAAAATGCAAAACAGCTACTTGAAGCCAGCTCAGGACAGGGCATTTAGGGATCCTGTACATGAACTAGAGGGCATGAGCGTGGGGACACCCTTGAGACTCTGAAACATGTGGAGCCTACCCATTGGGAGGGCAGCGCAGATCAAGGGACATCAATCTTTGGGGAATAAAGTTTAATCGGGATAATAATTTACGGACCATTTTTCACTCAAAATTAAAATCACTGCAGTTTGCCCCATGGGCAAAGAGTATGAGAAAAGGGCAGGGAGGTATGGCATCTCTCTTTATCGAAATGAAGGCGCTCCCTGACAGTGGGTACCGCCTTTTAGCTACCAATCCTTTCAGATGTGGGATTGTGGGGGAAATAATCACCAGGAAGCTGCCTTCTAAGTTTTCATTGTAGAGTTGGATTTCCAGTTGTCTGTACACAGTTGGCTGTGGGTTGCCTGAGTTGATATAGAGATGAGTCTTAGAAAAAAAAAAAAAAAAAAAAAAACATGGGCAGGATGGAGCCTGGAGAAGCCCAAAACAGAGTCAAACCATCAGAACAGCAAATGCATGCTGCTGAGTGTCAGGGCAGAAACCCATGCTGGGGCCTCTGGGGGAGGGGGGAGGTGTTCAAATACAGATAACCCAGAGCTGACCCCTCCCACAAGAAATGCCTCTGTGTTGGGGCAGAATGATCTCCAAGGACAGAGACACTAACAAAAAGAAGAAGAGAGACCAAATGGCAGTTCTTAGAGGCCTGTGTAAGATTTTATATGCTGAGTTCATTTGTCCCTGGGGTCTCGAGAAATCTCCACCCCCGGGAAGTAATTCCTGGGTTCTCTGCACATATTTCTTTCTAGACTTCAGGGCAGGATCCAATCCCCTGTGGTCTATCAGCTATAATAGGGTCTGAGTCAATGAGAAGCACTCACCTGTGCCCCACCTTCAGCAAGGAGCACTTAGCAAAGGGGAGAGAAGGGGCGGCTGAGAGGTCTCATTGTATCTTTTGTTTTGTCTTTCTTCCTTCCTTCCTTCCTTCTTTCCTTCCTTCCTTCCTTCCTTCC